TGGTCTTTTGGGACCTAATTCCACAATGGTAGTGTATGTGGACCCTCTGGGTTTCTAGGACAAGCCCCGACCCTGGGAACTAGCCAGCCACGGGACGCACTCCCGATGGTAGACATGGCCACAGGGCAGCTCGATAACCTGGAGTTTTGGGGTTTAGGGGTTTAGGGTTTAGGGTATAGGGTTGAGGGTTTAGGGTTTAGGGTTGAGGGTTTAGGGTTTAGAATGCTGGGCTTGGGGTCTAGTTTTGGATCTATGGGGTTTTCACTCTTGCCTACGACCTCCGTGGCCATGCTACAGTCTTCCTGGCGAGATTCCTGCGACCTCTACCTCAAAGTATGACGCTAAATCCTTACTGCCGAAGACCTGTTCAAGTGTTCAGGACTACCAAAGGGTCCAAGTAATAGTATAGTCTATACTTTTGGTGCCCAAATATCTACTATTTGGGCCTCCATATCAGTACCCTAAACCCTAAACCCTAAACCCTAAACCCTAAACCCCTAAACCCCAAAGCTACCATATTAGTACTTGGACCCTTTGGGATTTAAGGCGGCTTCGCCTCGGAATTGTGGAGAAATGTATCGCCTTGTGCTGGGTCTTCGGTCTTCAGGACGTTGATGCCTACAACTGCTGGGCTGGGGCCCTAAACCCTAACCCTAAACCCTAAACCCTAAACCCTAAACCCTAAACCCTAAACCCTAAACTCTAAACCCTAAACTCTAAACCCAAACCCCCTTTTACCCAAAACCATAAAGCTGACTGAGTTTAGTGTGCTGTGCATCGGCCCCCGAGCGCTTGCAAAACTCTTAACCTGGACCTTGCCTCGCCAGAACCCCGGAAGCCCCAAGACTAAGCCCTAAATCCTTGCCCTTAACGGTTCAGGGTTTAGGGTTTAGGGTTTAGGGTTTAGGGTTTAGGGTTTAGGGTTTATACGTCTTGGGGTTTACCTGGGACCCTGGATCTGGTAAATTTACGCCCGGGCGGTTTTTTTACGCACATTTACGCCCGGAATTTCTGATTACGGTAATTTATGGTTGGAGGGCTTTTCTACGGATTTTATGCCTCATCCTTAGCTGGCCTTCAGGATTAGTCAGAATTACGATATACAACCTAATTACGATTTTTTATGGCCGTTCTACGGTTTTTCTACGGTTTTTCTATGGTTTTTTATGGTTATTTCTAGTTGTTTTATGGTCGTTGGGTGCATTCACGAAATTTATGGTTATTCTACGGGCGTGGCTGGGTTCAGGAATTTACCCCACTCAAAGACCCAGATTTCAGGGTTACGCACATTTACCCCCGGATGTTTTTTTTACGCGCAAATACGCCCATTTCGAAACGACCAAAAATTTACCATGG